TTAGGACATGGATAACAAAAACCTAATGGGAGAGGCTTCCCTTCACTTCTGACCTACAGAAACAGCAGAAAACCTCTCCAGAGTGAAGGAAAACCCCACTTAGTTCGTTGTCATTTGAACAAGTGTTCTCAATGGAGGATTTCCCCTTATACTCCTGCTCTGGTGACAACTCAAACTTTTCCCTCACTTTCACTCCCAGTGAAAATGTCCACCAGGACAAATATAGGGTGAAGACAGCAAAAGAAACCTGACAAAGCGTCTACTTCCTTACCCTTCTATCTACAACAAAACAAAAAATGTGGGCATTGAATACACTTTTAAAAACGTGACATTAAACTTAGGAGTTAAATCTTTAAAATGCATTCAAGTTCCCTAACTTAACAAAAATGTATCTTATTTGTGTATTACTCTGCTGTAGATGTTCAAATCATCTCTGAATTGCTGCTGACACCATCCTTTCTTCTGGAGGGTGACTACTTTTGCTCCCCATGGTCCCTGTCTGTGTTGTAAAGTAGTCACTACTCCAAGCTCACTGCCATGATGGACTACAATCTCAATCCAAATTAGTAAACTCAACATGAGATTGTAGTCCATCACAGGAGGGAGCTTGGAGTGGTGACTACTTTACAACACACACAGGGACCATGAGGAACAAAAGTAGCCCCCCTCCAGAAGGAAGGGCAGTGTCAGCACCAGGATCTACAGCCGAGTGATACACAAATAAGATACATTTTTGTTAATGTACCTGAACGTATTTTTAAGATTCAACTCCTGAGTTTAGTGTCATTTTAAAGGCAACAAACACTAACAGGGTTAGTCACTAAAGGGTGAAGAGTTTGGAGAAGACAGAAGAAGTGAACAAACTCGACCAAAGTAGCTGATCTTGTAAAATTCTCCAATGCGGCTCACTTTCTTGTTCAGCTATGTTGTCCTAGATTGTTCACTTCTCCTGCCTTCTCCAAACTCTTCACCCTTTTGTCAATAACCCTGTAAAAAAAAATGATATTTCATAGTGAGAAAACGACAATTAGCTCACAGAAAACGTTGGTGCATTGTAAGCTCAAGTGTCCTGCTGCAGAACACCTTGCCAACCTGTTCTTCAAGTGACATTTAAGTGACAGTGAAGTGACAGTTTTCCACTACTAACCTGTTTTGCTGCCAAAGTGACTGACAGAT